CTAAACCCTAAACCCCCAACAAGGGTGCTCTGGCCCTGGCAGCCCTGGCCTAGAGCCATCCTGAAGGTTCCCCCTATGCCAAGCCAAGGTTCAAGGTATCCCGTAAGATTCGCTTAGACCGGTGAATCCTAAACCGTAGACTACTGATTAACATGATGTTCCTTGAAGCCAGGGTAGGTTCTGCAAGTGTGAGTTTGAAGNNAGGCGCATTCAACGTAGTTCTCTGCGAGGAGGTGGTGCCAATCTCTCCAGTTGGTGGTGGTCTTCGATCGCACAATGCCGGTATCCACGAACTCACCGAACCTCGGTTGCGTTAGGGAAGCTACTGCCACAGCTACTTCTGGGCTAAGACATGCTCCGGAGGTGTCATGCTACTTTGCGACACTTCAAGCGCCAAGGTTCTCTAAATTCGGCTGAGGCACAATGTCTGAGGGGTCTTGGAGCTTTGGGTACGGCATAAGAGCATGCGCCTACCACAGACTGGAAAATGCGGGTATATCGCACCGTGAATCCTCAATCAGAGGATGGCCTGCAAACCCCCGAATCTAGGGCAACTAAAGGCTAAATTAAGATTCTTGGGGATGGAGCGCCCAACTGGTTTTAGGTTACTTCCTGAACCGAGTCCCAGCTGCTGAATCAACGGCGCGAACTTGCAGGCCGTCTTGCTAGTTCCTGTGTCACCTCCAGGCTCCGCTAATTTGGATTTAGACTTCCGGTTTTTGCGTGTCTTAGAGTTTAGGGGTTTCTGCTCTGGGACTAGAGCATAAGGCCATCAGGGCTCTAGGACTAGGAAGCCGGCAGGGGTCTGGACGGTCAGAGCTGCAGATCTTCCTGAGAATAACACCAGCACAGAGGAACCCTAAACCCTAAACAATAAAAACCCAGAGCATTTTGCGACGTGTGATTACCAAGCGTGGCTCCCGGAGCTCGGACAACGATGCCGCAAGGCCACCCTATACCCTAAACCAGGGGACAGCCATTTTATGTTGCCTAGGGCGCACAAAGGCCCCTGCAAGAGGTGCCGAACAATTGCCACGGGAAGTGGTCGGTTTCATCGTCGTGCTGGATGAGGCGCAGCTTGCAAACTTGAACGGTGTGGCTAAAGTTGTCCAAGCCTGACTCGATCTACTGCTTGGCTTTGCCCTGCTCTTACTGCATGAACAAAATTGAAATGAAGACGAAAACCATGGAATGAGTTTAGAGCTAAACCCTAAAAGGAATAGGTTTGGGCGGTTTGCCCGCCTCAGACGGCGTCGGGTGGGAGAGAAAAAAAAGAGAGCCCTCCACGTTCGGGCTCCAGCGGCGAAGCGTCAAACGACGATACACTCGCAACTGCTCTGTCGCTATATACTTCTGCTTATGCGCCACTCGACGGCAAACCTTAAACCCTAAACCCGAAGCCCTATAGACCCTAAAACCCCCCAAAAAACCTACCGAGCAAAAGCCGAGGACCCGAGCCGCGCCGGCCTGCAAACAGCTGGCCGAAGTCCAAACTGCTCAAGGCTCCGCTCGTGCCGCAGTAGGAGGAGAAGGGCTTGTGGAGATCCTTCGTTCGCAGGGTTTTAGGGTTTAGGGGTTTATGGGGGTTTAGGCGTTTTAGTTTTAGGGTTTAGGGTTTTAGGGTTTAGGGTTTTAGGGTGTGTGGGTTTTAGGGTTTGTGGGTTTTAGGTTTTGAGGACTTAGGGTTTTGAGGACTTAGGGTTTCAGTTTAGGGGTTAGTAGGAGAAGGGCTTGTGGAGATGCTGAGGCGAAGCTTTTGGGGACTTCGGGGATTAGGCACTGTGGGACTGTGGGGATTATTAGGGGTTTTTAGGGCTTAAGGATTGGGGCGGAGATCTTGAAAGAAGGCTTCGGGAGAGGTGGGAGTGTTGGGATGTAGAGCTTGGAGGTGGGGCGTTGGTTGCGGCCTTAGGGAGCCCTTTTTAAGTGTCTCCAGTAAACTCTAGGCTCTACTTGATCACGTATGCTGACCTCCATTGTGCACTGCGATTATAAGCCCTCAAATGTCTCATTATCATGATGACGAGAACTGCTGAACCGCTTCAGGCATCATCTTTGCACATAGCAAGAGTAGGAGTAGTAGTCATCGCCGTGGATTCGTCGGTGTCGTGATCACTACCACCACCTGTGACAACAGTGGTATAAGTGATCGGGCATCCGGGCTTTGCTAACTTGGCCCATCCTACATTCTTACGGTTAGATTGTGGAAAAATTATTGGGTTGCTGCGTTGAATGGCTGACTTCCTCTCTAGGATCAAAACTAACCATGCTCATGGATGTGGCCTGTGTCTATGGTGAAGGAACTGAGCTGGACACCATGCTGTACTTGACGTCTCGGGCTGACACGATTAGTCTAGCAAGAAGCACATTAGCATGGTACAGAAAAGAGCCGGATATAATCAACACACCTTGCCCTCGGATGATTCATTGTGTCCGGATGCCCAGCCTCGGAACCACGACGGGAATTTTGCGAGAGTCATGACCCTTATTCCTGAACACTAAAGCTTAAACCCGAAACGATGGTGCAAGGCACCTGTGTGCGCTCGTCCGCCTCGATGTGGAGGTCCCACATGTCGGTGGGCCTTTTTCGAAACTATCATGAAAGCTCCATGATGAGCATAGCGTAGGTTTTTGAGAATGCAGTATGCCTCGAACCAAAGCTGGACCTGTCGGACGTCAGCTGGAGGAGTGGTCACTGTGAGATCATCGAGCAACCCTAGCTACTGGAAGGATCAGCTGTGTTGCGAGAGAGGGCTCTGTGAATCGTGGGGGCATATATCATGCAACTGCAACCTGACCAGCAGCTGCCAGAAGGCAGCGTGTGCAGAGTGTGGGTAGGCAGTGTGTGGAGGGGGCAGTGGTAAGAAGCTGCCAAAGCCTCGGCATTGAGAGGCCTAAGCTCGAAGAACCCGCAACTCCAGAGGCTCCACACCCTAAAGGAGGCAGTTGTACATGCGACGACTGCAGCAGTAACGACCTGCTAAAGAGTTGGTCGCTAGTCGTCAGAGTAGTTTACCACATAAGAAAGACCATCATGATGATGGTGATGATGATGATGATGAGCCATGGTCCATGATGCTCATGATCGCTCTGGTAACCTGGTCCCAAAGCTGGTCCCTTCGGCAAGGGGCAGTTCTGCGGGCTCCAAGTGCTGTGAAGAATCCGTCCTTGTCTGTCAGGGCTTTCGGGTTTCGGGGCTGTGGGTGGTTTCTCAAGGCTTTGGGAGTTTCCGGGGCATCCTGAAAGCTCTGAGGATGGGTTTCTGCCGGGGGGATCTGTTTTTAGGGCCTTTAGCTTGAAATTTTCTGTGGGTTCATCGGCCTTCCCGTCTCCTTGCGGGCTCCATGCAAAGCGGGTAAGGAGGCATCCGATGCAAAGGCCTCCGAGTGGGGATTGCGAAGATCAGGTGCCCGGAATCGTCGGGACCACGTCATGAAGTCCCCTGCTTAGGAAACAGACTTGAAGAAACCTTAAGAGGAATCTGAAGTCTCATATGTGCAAGAGCCATGTTAAATATCCCAAAGCTTGGCATCGTAAAGCCTGACATGCGGGCCCATACCGCAACGACGCTTCAGTTCCCCTGTGAAAACATCCGAGCGACGCACTGCAGTTCGTGTGCATGAGCCCCGAGGTATCACCCTTCGTGCTCAAGCACTGCTCGGCGTCCTTCAGACTGTTATTGAAACTCTTGAAGAGTTGCACGGATGCCTACTGGGCTTTGAAGTCTCTAAGATTTTATAGATCTTTGAGAGAACTTTTGAAGCACGAGGCAGCTTTGGAGCCCTTCGGGTGCTGCTTTGCGTCTGGTGTGCATTGCTTGGGCCTCAGAATACGCATGCTCCTTCCACTCACTTTCGGGCTGATAGTTTGAGGGCCTTCGGCATTCCGAGCGGCCACATCATTTGTTCGAGATTTGTAAAGTATCGGGATTTTGCATTGAGGGCGTCAGCCTTCCGCCGGTGGACGCTGTTAAACGACAATCTCCAGTCCCAAATCCTCTTAAGCCCATAATGCTAGCTGCCGACATGTCCCATTGAATGGCCCACCTCGAGCAACCACAAGAATCACAACAACCCAAGTCGCAGAGCCAATGATTAGCAAAAAGGATTGCGACAGCTGTAGCAACGAAGATCGCAGCAATAACAACAAAGAGGAAGTAGACATGTAATGAGTAGAGTAGCAATATGAACAACAAAAGCCGTGTGACCTGTTAAACGAAGCTCTCTCAGTATGCCACGATTTGCAGTTTTTCGGGTGCTAGAGGACAGAAAGGCCGCCTTCTCCCCCCACCTTTTGCAAACCTTAAGAAAGGCCACGCCAGCCCATCTGGTCGCTTGGGAAGGCCGTGGCATGAGACTCGGTTCGCCATGACGGCACAATGAGATGTTTCGAAGAGCCAACAAAACCCTCATGGACTTTGCAAAAGGCTGCAGCTGGCTCCCAAAGCCTCATAAACGAAACACCCGCCTTCTTCCATCCCCAGCACGTTTCAGCACGTTTCATGAAGCAAATCTGCCCCCTTCCGATATGCTGGTCTGCGATGGCCCCTAATCCCCAAATCCCCAACCCGAAAATGCCCTAAATACAATTGATGATATAAATCCTTAGCATTACCTTAAGGACCCCAGACTATGGGAATTATGGTGTATTCCTTATTGTGGGTCAGGCAGGATGTATATCATCAACCGTACGCAGTGGCTGGCCCAAAGGTGTGGTTTAGGGTTTAAGGTTGCGATTCTGGTAGGGCTGAAAAGGCCTTACCCCGCGGCCACAGTCCCCAACAAATTCCCAGTGAATGAATGGCCCTGAATAAACTGGAAAACCAGAATAGGGCTTTGTGGCAGAATATGCAGCTTGGATTGATTATTACTATAACATATATGTATATATGTATATGTACAAGGGCTAGAAGTCTGTAAAGGAACTTGACAAGGTTAGAACTTTGATGAATCCGACCCCTCGATTACACGGCCCTTTTACCGAACCCTGGGCTTTTGTTAAGGAATATAATGTAAATTACCATAATCGGGATCCATAGTAAGCAATAGGGTTTCCTTATTATGGTAACTTAAACCCTAGGTTCCTGAGCGACCCCGAAATGATAAGGGTACCCTTTCTGTCTTGCGGAGATCCCAGAATGAAAGGGCAAACGGGTACTACTCAGGAACCCTAGAATGAAATCCCTTAACAAGACCCCTGAATAGTACAACATAGGGCTTCCTTATTAGTTATGGTAGCTTACATCAAAAATCCCCCAACAAGAACCCAGAGCCTCTGCGACAGGCAGCAGCTTGAAGAGCCGTGCTTGTGGGCCCGCCCAGCCGGTGACCTGCTTGAAACTGTCGGGTCTTGGTAGGAGCTAGGATTAGGGGGACCCTTGGGGATATAGACCCTCTCAATAAGGTCCCTTTTAAGAGAGCCACAAGTAGGGTTAAGAAGGGTCTCCTTTGAGGGGTCTCCCTAGTA